AGTGTAAATAGAATTTCATATTCTAAAAAAATGTAATATTTAAACTGCGTATTGGGTCATTAGAGGTATATTAGCGCAGGATTTGAACGATTTCGATTATCGCCTCCTCTCAGGCGAGTTAACTAAAATAGCACCGAGATCGGGATATTAATCATTTTGGGCATCTAGTTTTTGATTATGGACACCGCGTTAGTCGTATCAATATTGGACAGGAAATTCAATTAAATACGCGGCATGAGTTTAATGTACACATTCCGCGCGCGGCATCGCCCGAGTTTACAAAATCATCGCGCATCTATCCCTTTTTATCTTTCATATCGTCGATCTCGCGCAATTTTCGCATCGGTTATCAATTTTTATCGGGTAAAGTTTCACCTTATATACAAGGGAAGGTAAAGTAAATTTATTTATTCCACACCTACAATACCTACACTTTAGCAAAATATATGCAAAATTACTCCTCAATATAATCGCCCAATATTGCAACACATTTTGTGTAATTGATTCACATCTTCCAATTTTGTCTGCGAAGAAGGTTTTTGGCTGCTATTGAAACTTCAAGACAATTTAAATTTGAATTTCTTTCACATTCAACTTATAAATCTGACTTTGCTTCTTTCCATTTGCATGGATCATTAAAGAAAATATGCCAATGACGAGAAAGTTAAGAAAGAGTTGCATACGCACGGAAAAAAATGACTTTGCTGTAAGGTCTAAAAATTTTGTTGGATACAGATCTGAAAATAATATTGCTGGAAATTCAAACAAGTTGCTAGAATATCAAAATGTTTCACAACAGTTCATCATTTACTCATCATTTTTGAGTTTTTAACCAAATTATTTTGATGGTCCAATAAAGTTATTTTCAAATCTGCATCCAGTAGAATTTTTAGACCTTAATCTAAGTAAAATTGTTCTTTCCATGCGTGGTTTCGAGGGCTTGAAACCTTTTTTTTACAGAATCAGAAAGACTTGTAGACTATTACACAAAATGAGTTGCAAAGCTGCATGAAAAATAATTTTGTATATATTTTGTTAACGTGTATTGTACGTTAAAGATAAATAAATTCACTTTATTTTCTGATTTTCTCTCCCTCATATATTATTAATCGTTCTAACGATTACAAATTGAGGTTCCGCGAGCGATAAAGACGACGGAAATGAAAAGCGTTACCGCGATTTTTGTCAGCGTAACGACATTACTCTAGAGTTTTCGAAGCTTCTGCAAAATCGTTATCCCGAGATGCCGTATTTGGCGCATGCCTGATCTAATAATCGCGCGCGAAAAATTGTCATTGCGAAATAACATTGGATTAACGAATGTCTAAAAAAGCAGCGCGCGAAAGTTCATCGGTTTCATGCAACCCATCTTGACACTTGATTGGCGGTTGACCGGCTTCTCGTTTTATGCGCCAAAGTGCACGACTTTTCCTTTAATAAAATGCCAACGGGGGGACATTAATTAATTTGACCGGCAGTTGAATATCATCGTATCCCCGCGACTGATCCGCGAGAGCGCTCGCATATTTGTTGGAATCAATTCGTTTACCTCTAATTCATCATTCGCGACATTTGCTCTCGCAAATATATTAAATGCGCGCATTGGGATATGTGCGGTTTACATTACAAACAGGGAAACGAACTCGACTACCGCGGAGCTAGCCGCTTTTAATAAGCGGCTAACAACGCGTAACCTTTTTGACTGATGTCTGATGGTTTTTTCAAGATCTCCTCGTTCCGCTCGACCGCGTCGCTTAAAATTTTAAAGAGCAAAAAATTTTAATTCCCATTACATGGATAACGTGATTCGTTCGCTTGATAATGTCGATATTAAACTGAATATTTATGAAAATACTGTCAAAGTTAGAACGTATAGGTATTTGGCAAATACCACGTGAAACAGTAATGGAATTTTTTTCACACATCGATTAATGACTTTACGCTATTTCCACACAATCAAATGTAATCTCTTAGAAAGAATGTATTATCTATAAGATATAATAATATCAGTCATATTTACCGATATTATCCAAAGGTTTACAAATGATATATGATACAAGGTTGGGAAAGTTACTTCGTAAAAATGATTCGATTCTCACCGTTACCGTTCTTCTTTCTGAAAAATAACTCATTACTGTTAATCGTTATCGTTTTAAAAAAAGCAACTTGTTACCATTATCGTTACTCAAAAACTAATGCGAATTATTACAATTTCCATTACTTTTTCACAAATGACTTTCGTCTATGTCGTATTGACCAGTTCAACACGAAACCTATACCTATAATGATCACTGATCACGGTCAATCGCAATATAATCAAGCAGACTCTTTTCTCCTGAAACCTGCATATTTCATGTATGTATATGTATCGTACATGTACAAAGCATTGGTAAAAGTAATAATTGCATTCGTTATCATTACTCCAAAAATGTAATTCTATTGCTATTAATAACTGTAACATTAACGTTACAAATAAAGAAATGCCATTACTCATTCGTTACAAAAAAAAAAGTAATTATAACAGTAACGATGTTACAAGTATAAATAACGCGTTATTTCTCAACCGTAGTATGATACATATATATGTATAAATCACAAAAGCCGAAAACGTTTTTAATAACGCAACTATTCCAGATAATATGAGCAAATGATAAAAACCTCGTGTGAGAATACCGTTCAGTGTACCACTTGCTTCGTGCATTTTATATCGCACTTACAGACACGATTGCGTGTGCCATCGTTCCCCGGGGAATGACGCGCGGCGCATTAACTCGCCGCTAACCTCGCCGCACCTCCTCAATCGACGCCTTAACTCGATTAAGCCGCCGAGAAGAACCAAAAGGCCCCCACGGCGTTTTGAAATTTATCAACGATCAGTGTTGACCCATTAGAGCCAGTGGCCAGGGTCCGCGGAGAGCGTAGCCACGAATCTTTCTCTCTCCCTCCCTCCCACCTTTCTCCCTCTCTCTCTTTTCTCTCTCGGGCCGCACCGTCCATTTATACTATCTCACCATGTCAATCTCTTAAGTAGCTAGAGAACCGACTAGGACCGCTTTGCATCCCGCGCGATACCATCTTCTCCGTCGCTCCGTGAACGCGAAATACCGAGCGACTGTCTCGTTCATCCCTCTCCGAGATCGTGTCACAAAATTGCTCATCGGAACGTTCCTACTCGCGCCGATGAAAACGCGCAGGAAACGTAAAACGTTCCACAGTTGTTCCGCGGAGTCCTGAAACACATTAAACGGAATAAGAACTCCGATAGAAAGCAACATGAAAACTGCATTAGTTGTTTTCTATATGATTTACAGTGATGTGAGTTATGAGTCGTTCTGATGAACCTATTCTATAACGGCATTTGATATGGTTTATACCATAGACATATAAGATATATATATATATATATATATATATATATTTCTTATATGTCTATGGTTTATACACTATATGTGTCTTGCTTAAAGTTGATAAATATAATATGTCCTACATTATATTATAAAAATATTTCTTTATATAGTATACACATATAAAATTTTTATAATATGATATAAAATTGTAATATAGCAAAGCAGCAAAAATGTTCAAAATTATTTTTATCTGTTATCACAACGCGGTTACGAAAACAACTCTTTATATATCCATGTCCGTATTTCCTTTTATAAAAATTTTTCTTTTTACTCCCTTAACTTTCTAAAAACTCCTTTAGTTTTTCTTTTATTTTTATAAAATAAATATAATAATTTTATTTTGTATAAAAGGGAATAAGACTCAGGCTTATTTATTTTTGTTTCAAAGTTAAATTCATTACAAGAATAGACTTACCAAGGTTCAACTTTTGTGGGCATAAATTCGCAAAATTACAATACAAATTTCTCGTAAATCCGGTAAGAGGATGACGTGCGGAAAGTGGTCAACAACGTTCGTTTGATTGTCAACCGCCTCCAGCCAATTCTGATCTCGGCTCTCGGATAATGTCATAAACTTTCGCTTTCCGGCGGCATAGTGTCGCGTTTAATCCACGAAAATGCAGGTCGTTCTCGAGGACGTACTCCTCGATATAACAGGGCGGCAAGTAGTAAGAGCGACCGGGAAGGAGAGGGGGAGGGGGTGGCGAGGCGCCCCGCCACCCTGCAGCTGCCTCGTAGGATTTAATCACGATGGTTACTCTGTCCCGACCGAAACCAATTATTGCGCAGACGTATCCGCGCACATACATACGAGGCATCCAGTTATTCGAGTCAAACGTGTATACGCCTACCCGTATCGCAGAAATCCGCTTCTGCGAATATCCGTACGGGGAAGCAATCGCCGCGCGCAAACAGCACGAGAGCGTGGGATGGATTCGTATACTTATTCCCCCTCCCCCCCCCCCTCCGCCTCTCACTTCCCTTTTAATTTTTCGATAATGTTCGGATAAATAATGGAGACACGAAGTCGCTCGAGTTGGCACATCTCGCGTGACATGTCAATCATTTGTTTACAGATATTGAAAAATTATACGAAGGATCGATGCCGACTCTAATCCGCGCTACGTGTATTTGTGTTGAGGTATACATAAGAAATGTGTATATCCAGATAAATAAATGTATAAATTGTAAAGCTATTTGATGCAATCTATTTCAATCTTTTCAGATGTTTTCATTTGAAACTAATCTTTAGTCGGTATGCCTATAAGGGTGAGAACGCGACGGCACGCAACGTCCAGGTGTAAATTTCTACCTTCTATCGGGTGTCGGTTAAAACTTCGCGGAGCATGATGCACGAATGAACTTGTGGCGTGCACGCACGGCTGCACGTCTTTCGGAAAGCTGAATTAAATTAGTTAATAACCTTCAACCGCGCCACGAATCTGCAAACATTCGCAATTTCTGCCTTGCAATCTCACGATCGGATAATTAAAATTCGCCTTAAGAGAAACTTAAAATAACAAGAATGTTGTTTCTTATACCGTGTGTTTTCTGATACGAAGCAGTTATAATTAAATAACGTATCAATTCAGATTTAGAAACTGTTTTCATTTAATACGTGTAAGCGTAATTCAAATGAAGAATCTATGTACAATAGATATAAACGCTTCCATGTATGTACAAAAATGTAAAATGCATTAATCAAGTACAAATATGAAGATCGCGAACGTTGTTTCTGATGGAAAACCTTGTCGAAGTCTACAAAACTTTTAATGCGACGTTTTCTAGAAGTTTCCACTAAATGGAGAAGAAGCGATTAATGATGTTGGTCTGAAATTATCGATTCTGACGGAAAACCCCGCCAAAGTCTATAAAATTTTAATACTTACGACATTTTCTTATAATAGACGTCTCCCACTAAATGAGGAAGAAGCGATTAACGATGTTTCAGGGCGTGAAATTGTCGGTATTTAATAATGTCTAAGCAAAATTCTTCAAAATATCGACGAATATGTCCAATATACAAAATTATCTTGCGACAGCCGTTTGATAGCTGATTGTGAGCTATCCATTGGTTCATGATTCGTTAGTTTCTACACAGACTGTCCCTGAGGAAAGAAAGAAAAAAAGGCGATCAGGCGATTTAAAACAAAGTAATCACCAAAGCGGATGCATGTCGAAAGAGATAACGTAGGAGGATCATGAAGAAGGAGGCGAAAAGAATTGGAAGGAGACTGACATGAGAGACCAAAGAAGAGGAGGAAAATTCGACGGGGATGGAGGGAGGAGGGGGGCGAGACGATAGCGTTGGCACTCTCGCAGGAGGGTGAAAGGAAGGGGGAGAGCCATTATCGATTGTTGTTGATAATTAGCCGGTACAAGCGCGCGTCAATCGCCAGCCAAGGCGAGGTTATTAGGTTGTTGGTTAGTCGCCGGGCGAAGAGAGAAGAGAGCCGCTCTCGCGAGGATGCGTGGTCGCCACGCGTGTGTTGGATGCGTGCGCGCGTTGATCGTGCAGGGTTGCGTGCAGTGTGCGCTAGCGGTACCGTTGCGCACGCTCGCGCGAGTGCGCGCGGAACGGAACGCCGCCATTGAGCCCACCCGATTACTCCCCCCTATACAATTCGCAGCTTACGCGCTGCGCTGCGACGCGAGAGAAGGTTAATTATGCAGTTAATGAGAGACTACCTGGATGTACACATATACATACATATATATACATATATACATATATATATGTATATGTATTTCCGTATTATATGTATATACATATAATAGATATAATATTGAAGGGGAGGGGGGGGGAGGGGTCCTGCTTAAAAGAGAAACTTCCCTTGATCACTACGTCGACAGAACGGATCGGGATGAAGTTTAGGATTTACGGGCGAGAGCGGATATGGCGGACGAAGGGAGGGGGTAGAGCTTAGGGGGGAGGCGTGCACGGGTGGAAAATACCTATTTGCTGCCGCGGTCCCGCAGGATCAATCTCTTCGTCGGTGGTGCCGTTCGGTTTCTTGGACGATATTACACTCGGGGACGGGAATAATGCGAGGTTTGATCGGGCGTTCGTCGACGAGTAACCGCAGCGCCCGGGATGGATGTAATTTGCAGGGAAAATGATCGTGTAATAGTTCGCCCAGCGAGAGCGCAACGCGTTCCGCATTGTGTAATAGCGTGCAGTCGTATTAATCTTAGCCGAACCAAAGACAGAACTGCGAAACGGAGAGATTAAAACTTCACTTTTATCCGTCATTTAATTGCTCACCGCGCAATTTTTATCCATAAAGTCTGTTGTAACATTCGTGTGTATAATATAAATTTTACATATACTATAAATCTCTTATGCGCCATTAAATTTGTTGAATTATACTCAATTTATGTCATTTTTAATCATTCCTATATAGATCAGCATCGCTCTTACACATATTGAAAATTTATGTTAAATTTTACACATTTTATGTATACATTTTATGTTTCAAATGATCCATTCCTTTTATATTAATTTAACATAAATTGAATATGTTAGAAATTAGCACAAAAAAGAATTATACCTAATTTAAATCATTTTTAATTATTCCTATACAGGTTGGCATCGCCCCTACACAGTTGGAAAATTTGTATTAAATTTAATATATTTCACATATTTCAAATGGTCCATGCAACTTTTGTATTAATTTCACACAAGATAAATATGTTAGAAATTAACACAAAAAAGAATTATATCCAATTTAAATTATTTTTAATTATTCCTATATAGGTCGGCATAGCTTCTATAGTTTGAAAATTTGTATTAAATTTAATACATTTTACATGCTTTAAACGGTTTACTCAAATTTTGTGTTAATTTAACACAAGATAAATATGTAAGAAATTAACACAAAAATGTAACTCCTTAACGCAATTTGAGAACAAACTGTGGAAACATATTTCTTCAGTAAAATTAACATTTATATTATGATAAATTAATATACGTTTGTCTTTTATTCATTTATCTTAGAATTTTACGTTTCAAAACTACATTATTTTTATATTATTTATTCATTTATTCATAATTGTGTTATTTTAACACTGAAAAATATTAAATACCGATTTAACACACAATAGTCAAATTACATTCATTATGTTAGATTGGCACTCAGGTATGTTAAAAATTCAACATAAAATTTTAACAAGGATCTGGATGGATTCGTTTTTATAACACAAGTGTGTACTCAATGTGTCATTAATTTAATTAAAAACAATGGAGTTGAACAATTTGATTTCAAAAAAATTACAAAGTGTATTAAATTTTATTCAAATTTAGTTTATTTACTAACAAAAGTGCGTACATTAATTCGGACGCTGCTTACTTTGAAACTAAGCAATTCAACCACAGAAATGGTTGATTGCATGGGTTGTTTTTTCAACCACGTGTTTTGTGTTAAAATAATAAATTTCGACATGAAAATTAAAAATAACAAAATGTAATTTAACTCAAAGAATTGGTTTAAATTTGATAATTAGTGTTTGACAATGTGCATGATAACATTTTAATCAACCTTGCTAAATTAAAATAACGTGTCATTAGTGGTAAATAAAAAAAATTCTTGTAAGATTAATATTTATTTAGCGACTAATATACAAGAAAATCGCGGAGAAATTCCACTTTTTGAACGATATTACCTCGAAAATGAAAATAATGCGAATTTTGATTGGGCGTTCAGACGCGAGCAATCATCAACCTCAACGAGAAAGGTGTAATTTGCAAGGAAAGAGAGATAGCGTAATAGCTCGGTGGAAGTGCCGCGTGTTGACGCGCCTTAAGTTCTCTCACAGCGACGCAAAGTGCTCGAAAATTACCCAGTGATTACTCACTTAATGATTTAATCCGCGAAATTGCACGGTCTGGCGACGATCGTGTAATTTACGAAGAAAATTGTAATTTATACGAAAGTAGGTAAAAGTGCACCGGTTTAAGACACAGTAGTAGTATTTTTCCTCAAAGCGGGCGTGGACTTTCCAAACTGTGTGTGATGCACGCGAGAGAGCTTGTGCAGTTTTTTCTCTCTTTCGTAACATCTGTTTTTAGAATGAAAAAAAATCCTCGTGAGATAAAATTAAAAATGAAAATGAATTTAAAATTGAATACTAAGTAATTGCTCGAAGAAATGACACAGAATCAGATTTCTGTTGCGTTAAAAGTAGATATGGATTTTCGAGTTAACACTGTAAATCAAGTATATCTTCGATGTGATGCGCTTTCGCGGCACAACCAACTCTAAAATCCACCAGGCAAGATACCCGTAATTTTTGTCTCTAAATTTTCTGCACAACTTTTGCGTACAATCATTTAAATCACATGAATTCAATCGCGGTCCGTTTCCTGCGTTAAGTAAATCAAGAGCGGTGAGATATCATATCAAAGGAAGCTTATACTTTCCCAAGACTAACGGCAAACGCGATGTCATCGCCCAGCGCTGTCATCGCCAATGCAAATCTCATTACAATGCACCTGCGCTTTGACAGTGAAACAATTAAGCACAGTGCGGGCCGGCACGGCATATCGTAGTCGGTCGGACAATTAATTCCGCGCTTAAATCGATTAGACCTCGACCGGGACGCGCCGCCGCGCGCCGCGTTGGGTCGCGCACGGAATACCCGCGGCCACGCGGGTTTCTAAATACACACAAATACCCCAGCGGAATGCGGCCCCGGTCGTTCGTCTATTTACAATGAAAATGATCGCGTGATTGTTCGACGAGCGGAAAATAAATCCCAGCGTCGTTTTCGTTGCGCTGACCCTTTCGTTAACGGCGATAATGACGCGGCAATGTGGTCGTCGCCTTAATAAAGCGCCCGGATAAGCGCGGCGGCAAAACGATAGAGCCCGCGGTTACGCAAATACGTGTCGCTCGGTATAAAAAAAAGGGTGCATGCCGGCGCGCACTTACGGCGATGCACTCTCGTTTATCTTGTGAACGACGATTAGATGATTCCTTCAGGAGCCACATCCTTCCTTCAAGCACCCTGGAAATGAGAACATGTTTCCGACTCTCGATTTAGGTACTTCACTCGCTTCTTATCTTCATCATAAATGTGTATACTAGACTTATTCTGCAGATTTTTATTTCTATCCAGAGAAAAGTACATAACGTTTTAATAAATTATTTCAATAAATTATTTTATATTAAGTATCAGGACAGACCGAGGAATGTTACAAGCAATTAAGATGGAAAATCGCCAACACGGTCAAAGCAGGTCTTGGCGCTTCCAATAATATTCTGAAGTGTGAATCTTACAATTTTCGCGCGGTTTGAAGCTGCGTTGAAGCACGCGATCGGCGGCCACGTGGTGTTACTTGAACCGAAAATTGTAAGATTTACACTTTAGAATATTATGGAAGCACGAAGATCCGCTTTGACCGTGTTGGCGTTTTCCCATCTTAATTATTTTACATTAATTTCATATTAATATATTAAATATATAATTGTTATTTTAGAGACATATTATTTTCCCTTTCGTCATTTTTTCACACATTGCACATATATAATTTTTCTTATTCGAAACAGCAGTTCACATTTTGTAATGCATTTGTTTGAAAAAAATATTTGAAGAGTCTAATTTGATATCGAAAAGGTCATTAGAGGGGAAAAAGACATTTTCCCGCTGCTACTTCCGATTATAAAATACGTTACTGTATTTTACAAATATTCCTCGAGACGTAAGTGATTATTTCCCGGCAGCTTTATTCTCGATAAACCGATATCCAATCTTCCACTTTCGCATTAATATCATAAAGCAAGAAGTGTCTCTTATTTATTTCAAATTATTGACGAAAGAAAAAATAGCAATTTAGTTCGTTCGCTTCGTTATTCGGCGAAATTAATCATATGGGAAGAACTGTTCATTAACCTCCATAATGGTGCTGGCATATCGCGCTGTTACCGCAGATTCGCATTTTATTTTTGCAAGCTCACCGCGAGAGATTACATTGTATCTTCATATACTTATAAAGGAAATGTGACAACCGATACTTTATATACACGCTCTCTCGTTCACGCCGAGAAAAGTAATCCACCCGTCGGACCCGCCATAACCGGCGTCCTTCCGTTCCCCTTAAGCATCCCGCATACATTAAACGTCAAATACTCGAATTAATCCTCGTTGTCTCTTTTACATTCAACGAAGCGTAACGCGTCGCGCTTCGCGCTTGCTCGGTCACGAAACGCGAAGGAAAAAAGAACGAACGAAAAAGGAGAGTAGGAGAAGAAATCTAGGCGCGAATGGCGCTTTAAAGTGCAGCGCGACCGATTCACTTGTGCACTCGTGACGCACGTTTCACGCACGCATGCACGCACGCACGCACACACGGGCACGCAATTCCGCGCGGCCGTGCACGCGTTGCAGCACTTCTAATAGCTACTATTATGCGCGCATAATGGGGGTAATAGCTGCGACTCCGGATAAATCGATCACCATTACCGCTCCTATTACTCCGTAACGACCATTTCCGAGAGGAGAAGGACCTCCTGACCGCTTTCTCTCTCTCTCTCTCTCTCTCTCTCTCTCTCTCTCTCTCTCTCTCTCTCACTCACTCTGTCGCGGCTTCCAGGTGAGAACAGCTGCAACTCCACCGGCGGCGGCAGCGACGAGGAGCTCGGCGCGGGCTGCGGGGAGGACATAAACGGCAACGGGGGCAAGAAGAAGCACCGTCGCAACCGGACCACCTTCACGACCTACCAGCTGCACGAGCTCGAGAGAGCGTTCGAGAAGTCCCACTACCCGGACGTCTACTCCAGGGAGGAGCTCGCCATGAAGGTCAACTTGCCGGAAGTTCGCGTTCAGGTGAGTCATTCGCCGCGAACGAATTCGTGGATCGACGTAGGGCGAGGGGGAGGTTAACGTTTCCTTTCAAGAAGGCACGACTTCGGGCGCATATATGTGCACGAGAGTGGAGAAAGCGTTCTTTCAAAGTTCAAAGTGCTCGGTTGACAAATATTCGAAATATGTTTACCGACAGTTGACTTGGCAGAAATAAGAGAAGGTGACGCGCAGCTATAAATTTTGACAGTACTTAAATTGTCGAATTTAGAATGTTCAAGTTATGAGCTAAATTTAGATTTTAATAATTGTCACTCGCCGTTTCGTTAACGCGAATTTATTACGATTTTGCACGCTGATAATTTATCGATAATCTTCAACCCCTTTCTTTGTTTAATAACATGAAATTGATTTAAATAAACTGATTATACATCATGATGAAGTAAAACAAATAGCTTTTCTTTTTATGGAGTATAGAAAAGGAGACGGAAAAGTGTGAGAAATCGTTTTAAATCCCTCTGGCATTTAATCGATTTATAAATTGCTTCTACATACGCACAAATAACCGGCCCTTTTGTAATATTAAAATGAATTTTTTTGTCGTCTCTTCTTTGGAATTAATACTAAAACGCTTTAACGATTCACTACAAAAGAAAGGCGGACTACCATGGCATAATAAAACGTAGCATAAAATATACATTCTGATGTAATGCAGGACTATCGAGATATCAGAAAATTTATTACGATTAGGTACGTAAATAATCCTGTGTAAAGAGTACGTTTGCTATACTAACGTTTTTCGTGTAGGTATAATATTTAGTCGCAAGAGGGGGCAGTATAAATTCGCACGCGTGCGACCTGTAAGCGCGCGCACGATACGAGCAGGATTTATTCTTCCTCAGCCGAAATTTGACGGGTACGAAATATAGTGTACGGCGAAACGGCCAGGTGGGAGGAGGGGGCAATGGGAGGAAGGGGGGAAGGGGTTAACGCTGGCGTTTCCGTGCAAACAATCGGAACGACAATCGCTGCCTGGCGCGCCGAGCCGACGTATTAGACTAAATTAAATTAATTATGTGCGTGACAGCGATAAAAGCACGCAGTCGCGTGCGACGACGCATCGATTAGGCTCCCGGGGGCACGCTTGCCGAGCGGCACGTACCGCTAACCGCTTGCCAGGGCCAGTGGCGCAGCTACCGTGGTGCCGATAGTTCAGCAGGGCCATCGTCCGGATATTTCAGACAATAGTAATCCACAAGTGCTTTACTTACGTTTTCTTTCCTTATTCTATTCTAATCTCACGCTGCAAGAATTTGAATGGCTGTTCTCAGGTAAAAACGACGATTGCAGAATATGCAGGATATTGTAAACTAAAAATAATTAAATAATGTATGAATTAATTTAAAAGCAGATCAATTATTAAGTATACATTGCAAAACAATCGATTTACATGTTAGTATATTTATAAATTGCAAAAGGAGAGTGATAACAATAGTTTTTTCTTTATTAAATTTTCGACTACTTTTTTTGCTCTTGAAGGGAGATAAGGGGTCTAAAAGGGACGGAGAAAGAGCCCGGTAAAAGAGATCTTGGTGTAGGCCTCGTCAGCATCGCCACTTTGTTACGCTATTGGGCGGGGCTTTCTCGGCAACACGGGATAATAACCCGGCCGGCAGCCTTACGAGCACCTGCCTTTTCTTTCTCTACCTCCTCGAAACGCGGAATTGATTTTTACCGTGGCGCCCGTCTTGAGCTTCCATCGCTGCGAAGGGCGATCTCGCCTGCCGGCGATGGTTAAGATTACGCGTCGATTGCAATTAGGGCTTTATCGAGGCGACCACGCTAATTCGTAGTGTCGCCAGGCATTCGGCTCGTTAGAGTTACCATTAAACACGCAATGCAAGAAACGTGGGCATTATCTTCGCGCCTTAAGTGGACTATAGATGGGCCTTAAGGAGGATATAAAACGGCGGCGTGGAAGTAAGGCGAGGTATGAACCGTCTGTCTTTTAGAAATGCCGGAGTTTTCATTGTCGCAATTAACAAGCAGTTTATATTGCGAGATAAGCACATCGACCGGGGTAATAAAGTTGTCCTATAATTTATCTCCCTCGTACTTTACCGCGTCGAATAGATGATAGGTAGGCAATTAGCGATAGAAGTTAAATATAGAAAAATGGCTCAAGCTAATTATAATGATTTATATTATATTAAGATAAAATTTTACTTTGTAAATTACTTTGTGAATACTAGCGATATGCAGATATAATTACGGATAAGATATCGAAGGGGAAGAAAGTTAATAGATAAATTCTTTTATATATATTATTTTGAAAAATTATTATTCACTCAATAAAATGTCTGAACAACAGCGTTATTAAGAAGCCAGAATAAGTACAATGTACACGTATTATACTCGTAATCTTTTCATCTCGCCGAAAATACAATTAAATTATAATTTCTGTCATAGCATAAATAAGGAATATTAAAATTTATTCAACATTTTAATTTAATAATTTTGTGTTTTACATCCACTTATTATATTGTTTGATAGTTGTTCAAAAGTAGTTTTAATGCGACCCGCTGGACAAGACACGTTCTTGTATGTCACGTTTAGTTTTAAGACCGCTTTATACAATTTAAAATTTGCATTAGAATTTGCGGCAGAATAGAATATATGTATTACGCAATACTGAAACCATGTTTGAAGCTTACAATTACTGTTTGTCAGTTCACAAAGACAGTAAGACACAAATATTACTGACTATTTTAATTACCCAAGTTGGTGCTAGTTTTTTATATCAAATCTTTTGTGAGCGCGTGTGTACTCAGTGTTGCTTTTCATTTTTTGTAAAACAGTAATTTTGTGTGATAATTATTGACATAATAATCAAAATATAGTTGTATGCAACTTAAACATGTTGATATTTATACACTAGAGATATACATATAAATGATCGACACCACAGCCGAATTGAATCGAATCAAATTTTATTTCTTTGTTCGAATCTGAATCGAACCAAAATTTTATCGAGTTGAATTAATCAAAATCCAATTATTTAAACCTAACTTTTAATTTACAACATAATTATTGTATGTTAAGTTAAATTTTAAACTTTAATACATTGATAATAAAAAGGATTTATACTTGTTTTACTTATTACGGGAAATATATGATTTCATAAGGTTGTCGATATTTGTATTCAAACTTTTTTTACTTTTTAGATTCGAAATTTTCGAATAGTTCGAATTCGAATATTTCATAGAGATTCAAATTCGAATCGAATCAAATCTAGCTTCGATTTGATCGATTCGTATTCGAATAGTACGCTCATCTCTAATTTATACGAAACTGAAGACACTTTAGAACATTTTGTGCATTGTACGAGGGACTATATGCACTTCGAGGAATATGCTTATCCAGTCAGGGAAATTCAGAAAGAAGAATTTTTAAGCAAAACGGGTCGGCGCTTCGGAACAAAACGTCAGCGCGCCGCGTCGCGCGTCGTGAGGACGAGGGAGGCGTCGCGTTCCTCGGGGTCGACGGACTCGCAATTAAAAATTTAAATTGCGTTTAAAACCCGCCGTGAGCTGCCGGCGCGCGCTCGCTCCGTCTTCTCGTGTCGCGGCATCCCGTTCTCTTCTCTTGCCCGCGCGGAGTGTTTTTTCCCAGTTTTTCGAACGGGTCCGCACGGTCCGTGCACGTCTTGTACTCTCGTTTATTTTCACCACCCTTCCCGTCCCCCCCTCCCTTTGCCTCTCACTAACCGTGGGCACCGCAACCGTCTCGGGCCGCCCCCGAGGTATACCTAATCGCTTAAGCTTATTACGCCAGAGCGGACAAGGCGGTTGCGAAATCAGCTTTGCTCGCGATGCAAGCGCGCGCGGGCTCTCCACTCTCTATCCGCTCGCCCGGTCGCGGCGAGCCGCGCGCGCGGCGCCGTTCGGTTTCATCATTTTTAATTGATAGCGCACGCCAATCCCGTCTGTCGGATTTATTAGGCCGCTCGACGAGATGGTTTCGCAGGGACAAGGGGATGAAGGCAGGGGCGGAAAACCAGGATTGGGAGGGTAGGAGGGAGGGGCGGGAGAGAAGAGCGGTGGGAAGGGGGGGAGGGTTTTTATTGGGCGTGGCGGAACGCGCGGACGGGATTCCGTCGGCGGTCGCTGCGGTCTGATTGTCATCGGAAAAGCGCCCCGCACGTTTTCCAGCTTTTCCCGATCCGGTGCGCACAGCACGTGTGCGCGCGCGAACGGGTCACGCGTAAGTTAACGCTGCGCTCACGTCGCCGATCGCGTCATCGCTTTTCAGGTTAACGCAAAAATTGCGTTTACGCAACGGCGCGGCGTGACGAAGGCGCGGAATCGCCGAACAGTCCCGGTGATTTAATTATTAATCTTCGATCGGTGCGTGATTCGATATTTCTATAAATTATCTCGCACTGTATCACACAAACGGAGAAAAGAAATCTTACGTCACGTGCAGTACGCCCGTATATAGAAAACTGATTGTTAGAACCGAGAGTTATTTACTGGCACGTAATACCGTACGCGCATAATAAAACTCTAATAGCAATTACTGCTATACGTTTTGCCGCGCGGCATTTTAGCCGACATTTTTGTAGAATTTGTAATAGGATCTGCTTTTATTTCAATTTTCTCTGGCGCGCTGGAACGGGGGACGCCGGGGCGGATTTTAAAAGAATGTAACGCGCACGGGGTTTTAAAACATTCCCCGCGTGTGTGTGTTTGTTATTCGTTAAAAGTACATTATTTTATACGCCGCGACAAAAATATTTCGCCCGGATCAATTAACGTGGCAAATGGTTTAGCTTTAAATCGCGCGTTAATGTTTGTTTGCGTGTGCTAAATCGAAAAATAGATTGCAGAAAATGTAAAAGGGAATAAAAGCTCGCGCGGGCGCGGCGAGCGGGCGAGAGGGGGAATCATACGGGGGGCCGCGTCTTTTCAAAGAGATAAATGGAATTGGGTAATGCAACTTCACTCGGTTAGATTTACGAGCCG